TGCTCTGAGGCAGGAAACGGGTTTTCCTGTGTTTCTGCAGAGCTCCTGACCCCGATTCGGTCGGCAGCTCTGCTCCACCTCACAAGTCCCAGTCACGGGACGGCTGGGCCCTCCAGGGAGCAAACCAGGGCTTGGGGCAGCAAGAGTCAGGACGAAAAGGGCTGCCCCAGCCGGTGCCCCCGGTCACCCTACACCCGGTCTCCAGGGCCCAGCACTCCCACCTCCGTCCCGCTGCCCCCGGCTTGTCTCGTCCTGCTCCAGAGCCTCCTGCCAGCCCCGCCGGGACGAAGCCCCGCCGCCCCCGCAGCGAAGCGCTCTTTGTTCGCAGGCGGATGGGCCTGTTGCTGAGAAGCAGAACGCTTTTGAGGGCTGCTTTTCAGCACACTTAGCAAGCTGAAAATCGTCGCTTGAAGGAAAAGGCATCCATTTCCTTTACAAATCCCCTGTGTGGGAACACTTTAACTTTTAATGAAGTCCATCTGTGCAGCAGGGCTGGCTCTGGAGGGCAGGCAGAGACAAGGCACGGCGGAGTAGCCCACTCTGCTCTCGCGCTGATAGGGAAGGGCTGAGCAGCGCTTGGATCCCCGCTCCCTGCGTCCAGAATCCCCCTTTGTCGGTGCCTGAGTGTGATAAAGATGCAAATGAGCCGGGGCTTTGTCACACTGCCTTCGTGCACAGGATTACCTGGGGGGCCGGAAAGGGGAGGAAACGATCAGAAACACAAGCCCCAGAAGTCAGGCGACAAACAAACATTTGAACTATTACAGAAACAATGGGCTCTCGACGAGAGCAGGCTCTGGCACCCCCGAGAGCTGGGCTGGATGGAAATTAATACCACTGCTCATAAAGCTACAACAGAAGCAAGGCTCAGCCACACTTCCCAGTAAGTGGCTAATTCCTTGGGTATTCGCTGTAATAAGGTCAATCATTATGAAACCGTCATACAGTGGTGGTGTGTATGGAACGCTTAATTCCACTGTAATTTGGCATTAATTAATGTCTTCTCCAGCGAAGACACAGGCACTTTCCAAGGACCCCACGGAAAGTTACTGATCCTTCTCACTACCAACAACGCTGCGCGCCGATCGCGCGGCCGGGGAAGGGGATTCCTTTTGCTCTGAATCCTCACCCGAGAGACAAGGAGACGTTATCCCTAGTTTGATACAGATAGAAACTATGGACCATGGTTCAGGTGGCTCCTGGAATCATTAACTGACCTATTAAAGATCCAATATTTGGTTTTGTAAAGCACCAGAGATCAGATGCCACAGCTGTAAATGGGGCTGAGGACCCACCCTGCAGGGGAACTTCACCTGGTGACAATTTACAGAGTACCCTGTCTTTTGTATGCTGCCAGGCGTCATCAGGGTCATGCATGCTGGCGAGTGACACCGTGAAGATTACGTGCAGTAAAAAGAGGCTTGTTCAACATGTATGCATAAGGGAAAGTGATGGTTAATAGGAACTGGACAAAGCGCTGCTCCAGGAACGGGTTCTCCCTGCCAGGCCTCAGGATCCCCTCACCCACGTCTGAGCGCCACGCTCATGCTCGGTGCAAATAGATCTGGGAGCCCCTTGCACATGGCAGCTCAGGGCGTCGCTCATGGCCTAAGGGATTCTTCTTGCTAAATTGAGAAGGAACATACATGCATAGGAAACCAGGAAGATTTCGGCTGAGGTTTCTCCATCCCTGGAAGCTGCTGGGTTCAGGAAAAAAGTGGCCTGCAAGCTGTACTTGCCGTTGTATTTCTACAAAACACATGGTCTGTCTCAGGGATGGACCTGCATTCATGCTGGGAAGGAAAATCACTCACAATATTGTGACAGGAAGGCTAAGTAGCCACAAAAGTTTTTGCAACAGCACCCAAAGTGATAAATTCAAATGAACATCCTCTCCCTCAGGGTGTGAAGTGACAACCTAGGGATGGGTTTGACTAGAACTTGCCTGAAAAATGAATTCACGAGAATGCCGGGAGTTTAAAATCATCCATAATTACATTGTGAGAGTGAGATGAGCGATTCCGCTGCACAGCTACAGCTTCATCTTCTGCACACGTTTAATTTGATACTTCAGCCTTCCCCGGATGCTGATACTCCTAATTATGCTGCAAAATGAAAGAGCATCCCCCCAAACAAGCACAGAACAGAGCACCACGCCAGAAGCTGCACCTAGGAGCAAACGCACCGCACTCAAGTTTACCGTTCTTGTGTCCTGTGTTCACGCTACCCGACGCACTCGCACCCCCCAACACTGGCTGGGGTTTTTCCTTAAAGGAGAGGGAGGAATGCAGATGAGATTTCATCTGCAGACGGCTGGCAGGTTCGAGTCACCATGCAGAAGTGAGGTTTGCTGTACACAGCTGCCCGAGCCTTGGGGGGCATCGCACCAACATCCCATTTCTCCTCCCTCTGGCAAACCCCGCTGCAGCTTGGAGGGGTCCCAGTCCCCATTGCTCTGCTCACACACGTGCCCCCCGCGGGAGCTGAACAGACCGCTCACCTGCTGCCTGAGCCCTCCCCTGCCTCCCTCCAGACCCAGGATCCAAACGACTGCATTTAGAACAAAGGAATTTGGCAAGAGACAAAAATCTGCCATAAAACCTGGCCATTTTCTGTATTCTGAAAATAATAGCTTCTCAGAGAGAAAACAGGAGACATTAGGAAGTCTTTTCTTCACAAGAATAGTGGCTAATTTGCAGCAGGTTCTTAGCGGGAATCTTTCATGCCCATGGAAACTCTCCTTGCAGCAGACACATGATTGACCAAGACAAGTCCTCAAAGCTGCCCTGCTCTTTATCTTTAAGGACACCCACTCCAAAGCAGATGTCTAAATACTCGCTCCCTTGCAACTGAGCAGCTCTAGCTCAGGGGGAGAATGCCACTTATTCCATCCTTCTCCATGCAGAAAAGAAATGAAACCCCTCCCCCCCCAATTAAACCACTGGAGCACACAGTTAAGAAACTCAACTTTGAAAGCAAGGGAAAGAGCATTCTTCTCTTAATTCAGCTCTGCGAGAACAGCAGCACCCTGCCAGGCTGGCAAGGATGGGATTTGAGACGTTGCAAACTGGAGCCAAACCCAGAGTCATTCAAAGGTGTGTCTGGATTCAATCTCGAGCAAACCACTGCTGGAGTCACACGATTCACAACGCATGATCAGGGCATGAAGATGGGGCCAGGCACTCTCTCTCTGCAAAGCCACACAGCTCCAGACGGGGAGAGTGACCCGCAGAGAGAAGGGGCTCTTACCTCGGACGTAAAGGTTAGCCGGGGCAGAGTAACGGGTTCCTGCGCTGTTGGTTGCGACACACTCGTATTTGCCTTGGTCCGACTCCTCGCTGTTCTCTATCTGCAGAGCCCCTGGACACAAACAAGACGACAGACAGCTCAGGTTATAGCAAGTGAACCCCGACAGCTTCTCTGGGTGAGAAGGGAGAGCGCACCCCACTTTTCCAGCAGCTTTCCCAGATAAGTGCATGGTGAAATGTTGCTCCCTGGCCCCTTGGCGGTACCTACATGCAACCACGGGGCACCCGCGGCCAGCAAGGCTGTTTGTGTCCCCACCTACACAGGACAACCAGTTCTCCATGCATTTCCGACGGACGCGGGTACGGGAACGCACTGCAGCAGCAAGGGAAGAACATACTCTCCCACGCTGCCTGGAAGAGGGCCCTGCCCGAGGAAGCCCCTACCAGTCTTCCACCATCAGCTTTCTCCCAGTCCAAGCAGCCGAGCGAAACGCAGCCGGCCTGCAGCTGCTTGCTTCTTAGGCCGTGTAAGGGACGTGCGTCGGTCGCTTTGAGAGCCTCGTCCTCCCCCTGCTCCGCCAGTTCAATTCCCCTCGCCCTGCCCCACGCCCCGGGAGCCACATCTCTGTCCCCTCATGCTTGATTATGTACAGTACAACATGAAACAGCAAAAATAGACAGTCTGCCGCACAAAGATGGTTGTGCTGCACCATGCGTGCACCCCTGGACCCTTTGCCTGAGCCCATCTCCTTTTGGCCTCCTTCACCCTGCTCCTTGCTCCCCCGCTCCTGGACCAGGGCTCTCAACCTCCAGCAGGCTGCGAGCTCCCAGGGCAGAGGTGTCGTCTCCCCTCTGCCCTGGTGGTACGACCCCAAGCCGCAACCCCAGCATCCAGTGAGAGCCGTGCTATGCAAGAGTGAGCAAGCCTGCACGTATGCCGGGCTGAGCAGCTGTGTTTTATCATGGGCCGGCCCCCCGGCAGGTAGCCCTGCTCCCTGCTTAGCACGGATGGGACCTAAACCTGGCTGAAGTGGGCTCCACATGGAGCCTAAAAGGAAAGAGGTGAAGCAAGGCAAGAAAAGCAGAATCCAGGCGGCGACAAGAATAACAAGCAAGCAGCCAGCGCTCGGGGCAGACATCCAAGCACGGCTCTTGCTACGGTTTGGCCTGCTTTCGCGTGGCAAGAAGGAAATCCTTTTTAAAACCCTACCAAGTTCTCAGCTGCTTCTGGCGAGGGTTGTTTGTCAGAGGGGAACTCTGCTCGCAACCCACATACCTGAGCAAAAAGGAAACGTTAACCCCTTTGCTTGTACGGATTTGAACTCATTCCCATTCGCCACGGTTCAAAACAACGGGCGAGAGCAGCGCTCTGAATAGCTGAGGAAATTGCCTTCTCCCTGCTCCCCAGTTCAAGCTGCGGAGGTCAAACTCCGTTTTTCATATCATCAGAACAGAAGAAAAACTAATGCGAAGCC